CTATCAAATTATATAGGAATATAATGAGTTCTCCCCTATCTAATTTCCATATGCAGCTCCTATAACATCTCCCCCCAAAGCAAAAGTGACAGAATATTTAAACTTGGCTCAAAAGCTGTTTAATGTAAAGATTGGAGAGGAAGGAGAATCCAAATGTGCGTACTTTGTTTCTAAGGAGAGATAAAAAAATAAAAGAGGTTCAAATGACAAAGAAAAGTTAGTTTCTAGATCATCTAACACTGCTCTAACTCCACTGCCTGCCCATTCCAACAGCCAGATGGACCATAGCTAGCAGAATAACAACTAGTACTTATTATATGGACCATTTGCTTTTTAAACAGCCATTATTGCACTCAGCATTCAAACACATGTAATAACCTCGAATCCTAATTTGGCACTCCAGCCTGTTCCAGGCTTGGTTAGAGATGGCTTAGCAACTTCCCAGTGTCATAAGTAGGACAGATGATCAGTGTTGCCTCATTATGTTGAGGAAAGCACTCCACAGACAGTAGATTCATTTAATATCTTGTCCACTCCATTATTTTTGAACAGGGTTTTTTTTCTCTACATAAAGAATTTTCCATTTGCTGCTTGGCAAGAAGAACTACCACAACAGGGCAGGGAGCTGAGCTAGTTCCCACCAGATGAATTCCACCATCCATTCCATGATCAAGTCACATATGTGCACCTAGTTCCCACACAGAAGTACAAACTCAAGTCTTTACTCAATTCCTTTCTGAATTTTATGCTAAAATTAGTCAAAGGTAGCAGAGATGAGATCATTTTAGCAATGTGAGAAGATGACTACAAGGAAACACTTTTTTGTCATTCCATACTCTCAGAACTGTTGTTAAGCCTTCAGAAACTCCTGTTTAACTCTACAATCTGCCTGTTACCTTTTACACATCCTACAACCAACCACGTTCTCCCCATCTAGAATTTAAGCCCAAACCCCAAACCAGCAATAGATGCAGACAAATTCAAGCAAACTGAACACTTGCTGAACAGCTCTGATATCTCACCTTGAGAAAGAAAATCTGATATCCTGTTGATTCAAACTGAAGGAGGGAAAGTCTAGGTTGGATGTGAGAAAAAAGTTTTTTACTCTAAGGGTGTTGAGACACTGGCACAGGTTGCCCAGGGATGTGGTGGCTGCCCCGACCCAGTGCAGCTGAATTCTGTCAAGAATCCTCTTAGTGTGGTTTTAGCAGATAAAGCTAGATAGGATATAGATGAAGCATCTCTACCATGAGGAAAGGCTGAGGGAGCTGGGACTGGTTAGCCTAAAATGAGAAGGCTCAGAGGGATCTTACTGATGTAAGATAAATATCTTCAGGTATTCAGGTTTCCATCTTTGAAGATGTTCAAAAGCCACCTAGACATGTCTGGGTGGTCCTGCTTGGCCAGGGAAGTTAGTCCTGGTGACCTAAGGGATGACTTCCAGAGGTACCTTCCAACCTCAGCCATCCTGTGATGGATAATGCTAAGAAAATTCCAGTCCAAAGAGGGAGAAGTAGATACAGGACCTTATCCCCTAGTGTCTGACACACTCCTGTCACTCCTTGCTCAAGTACAGAAGATCTGGAAAGCTGAAATTGCCTGGCAAATATGAAATTATGCCATAGGTTGTAGCTTAATAGTTTATTATACCACATAAATCAGGAGTGAACTAGATGAAAAATCATTAATAAATAATAATTAGCTGTTTCCTGAGCCTGCCATCTGGTAAACAGTTTTCCCAGCCAGCAGCTCCTGCTCCTTACACTCCTCCAAAGCAGCTAAGGGATGAACACAGACTATTCTTTCTCCTCTGCCAATCCCTTTGGGAAGAGTAGATACCCAAGATACTGACATCCTCCCCAGTGTACCTCAGCATTCCACCTGGCCAGGTCTTCCCTGCCCTTCCTGCTCAATTCTGTGTCTCCAGATTGTTCAAACCCAGTAAACCCCAGAAGTTGGAGCCCTTCCTTCCACCCTGCTCCCAGAAACACGTGGGCTCCCAGATAACCAAATTAATCATTCTAACCTGTAAGTGGCTGTCATTAGTATTATTATTTTCATCATATAAATTATCTTCCAGATTAGGTCATATGCATTTTGAGATCCTGTGGTTTCCTAGCAACTCCTCTCACCACTCTACATGCAGACACAGTGTGCCGTTTTCTCTTCCTTTTTTAGACTCTCTGTGCAGGGGTTATATTCAGCAACAGTGATCTCAGGCCTGGCCCTAATGACCTTTAGTCTGTCACATTTGGGGGGATAAGATGCAGAAGACAGTTATCCCCCCTCCAAAAAAGAAAAAAAAAAAGATATCTGCAGCAGATAGTTAGAAAACCACAGTCCTCCACTTGTGTGTCTGCTGTCCTCAGACCACAAGCACTGAGCTCTGCAGGACAGAGATGACAAAAACATACCCACACATGGTAAAAACAGGCAGAATTTGGAAGGTCTTAAACCCTTTGTTACTGTCAGGCTTGCTCTAAGTGCCACATCCCACAGGAACATACAACAGGTGCCTGAACACCATGCAGAGCTCATGTTGTATCTCCACATCGACACAGATTTTCACCTCAAAACCTGAGCTGTGGTTTCAGAGTTGTTTCAATCCAACGTGGGGAACTGTCTGGAGGGCCAAACCAATTTCAGGCACCAATTTTAATTAACTTCTCTAGCTGAGTTAATCAAGATATCTACCAAATTTAATCACGGTGGGGGCACAGTTGGGCGATGTGACGATCCCAGACAATCCTTTGTGTGAGGGGAATAGGATTAACTTCTGTCCTGCCCCACTGACATTTTTTAAAATAACAACGTCTGTTCCAAACTACAAAAGCTGTGGGGCTTAATTATTTAGCTAGCTTGTGGCCCTGTTTCAAAAGGAAAAGGGAACAGACCTCAGGAACAAACCATCTTCAGTCCACATGGAGTACAGCTATTAATATTTGATCCCCTGCTAGCCTGGAGGCAAAGGGAAAAATGTTCAGTTCAACAGTCTGAGACTGAATCTGCTTTAGCAATTGACTCAGCTGAAGATGAGGATGAAATCTTTGCTGCTACAGGTGAGCTAAGTTGGGAGATTCTGGCAATTCCTCTAGCAAAGGAGATGCTATTTGGTCAAGCACAAAGAAAGCTTCAGTGGTGGCCAAAGGAGCCTCTCTGTAAAGATCATCACTGCATCCAATATCCAGTCCTGATTACAGAAAGGATAAGATCATTGTGAAAAGTAAGGAACAGAGACACAAAAGCATATATTTGCATATCAAAGACAATTATCAGGAACAGATGGACAATGCCACCTAACTGGAAAATGGAATAACCTACAGCACCTTCTCCCCTACTCTCTCCCACTAACTCCTATTCAATACCAGTAGTCCCTATGGATTTTGTTCCAGGTTATAGCCTCAGGGTAATCTTATTCAGGGTCTAGAGCAACACAGCAGTGTGGGAAAGTTTTCAGAAAAACTGGAGAACCGAGTTCACTTTCTTGATGTATCCTTAGTCTACATCTTGCAAATACAACTCGTGTCCCTGTCTCAGGGTGACCAGATCTCCCCATGAGCACCTTGGCCCCAGTACAGAGATTTCACTTCACAGACTGATTAGGAGCCTCAGTGTTAAAATGGGACAATGAAAATCTAGGTGAGGTATAGAAAAGAAAATCAATTTTGGATGTCCCCATTTCAGAGGGGGGTCAAAAGACAACCTATTTTTCAGACTGGTCACAGTCTGTGTCACCCAATTAAAGCTACAAACTAGTACCTTGTACGTGTCTTTGCTTGAGAAATTGCTTAAGCAGAAGGTCTTAAGGTTAAACAAATCTTTCAGATATTGAAGGCCAGAGTCACTCACACATGTGCAGGAATAGAACTCCTGGAATGACTATGCTCTCTGGCCCCACTGCAGATATTTCCCTCTTGCCTTTATCCTTCCTACAGTGTCTACCCATTAGCACCTCCAATTAGAAGAGAAAAATCACGAGCTCCATGTTATTTAAGGGATTATGCAGCATTTTAAACTACAGCACAATGTAATTATTTTTTAATAGCCACAGCTATTTCATGTATTTACTTTTAATGGTGTTTGAGTCATAAATTAACAGGAGAAAAGAAAAAGGCAGATCAGCACTTGACAGAGAAACAGGCAGCAATGGCAAAGAAAGACTGAAATGCTAAAAGGAATGATCAGAAATGATCAGAAAGGAAGAGGGAATTAGTTTTCCTTGTTTGCTTTATTCTGGAGTGGTTTTTATCATCTAACTTGTCCCCCAGGGAGCTCCAGAAGGTCAGGGATAAATAAAAATGAGAAGAGTCAAACGGCTGTGTTGTTGCAGAGTGACTTCTGTCAGTTTGTTAAGGGATGTGTATTTTTGGCCAGTCTTAAATTACCAGATAGCAAAGTTAATAAGCTAACACTGCCCCTGCAGAGGACACAGTCCCTCCTCACACAGGGCTGGAGGTCACTGTGCTGCTGCAGCACAAGCAGAGCAAGTGACAGCAGAGATGTCTGAGCACAGAGCTGAAAGATAAAGAGAGGAATAAACAACCAAGCAGGTTAGAGAGAAAGTGAGCCATGAAAGCAACTCAAGGTGCAGAGCATGTGCACATTGGTAGGTGACACACAGTCACCCTGTGCCAGGAGTGTGTCCAAGGCAAGTCCCTGTGGCTGTGCCTTTCACCCCAAAAGTGGCAATGAACCTTTGAAAGCATAACCAAACCTGCAGTGCCCCATTCCTCATCTCTGCAAAGGCTCTTAACACTGGCAGATTTTGTGTTTCAGGCACCTGTGCTCACCTGACACCTGGGGGTGGACAGACAGAGACAGACAGACAGACCTACATGTGCTGCTGCTCTCAGCAGCACCTTATCCTTGCCCACCCCTTGCATTTCACCCCCAGGCTTTTCCACAGAGGAAGACAACCTGAAATTTCCTTCCTCCTGGTATTGCCAGCACTGATCACTTGTTATTCCAAGCTCTAACTCAGTTTGTTTCCCTTCCCACAGAAAGCCAGGCTCGCCAGGATCCGAGTGGCCAAGACTGGCAGCTCCAACGCTTACCTGCACAGCAAGCGCAACGGCCTCCTGAACGAAGCCCTGGAGCTGACGGTGAGTGCAGACACATCACCTCCTTCCCCAGAGTCTGACACATTCTCCCCATTCCCATTCCCCTCCCTGGGCTCTCTCCCTTTCCCTCTCCTTGCCACCTAATTGCTCGTTACCCAGCGTGGCAGCCTTGCCCGCAGAAGGGTGTTATCATGTGCTGTATGGAGGCACAGCTGGAATCCAGCTGCATGACTGGATGGGAGGAAAAAATAAGCTTCCTTGGGCTCCTTGAGCTAGGAAAGGAGCTGGCTTTCCAGCAACAAGCATGTTCAGAGTTCCCTCTGATCCCTCTGTGATGGAGCTGGACTCATTAACACAGGGTCTGCCCACACTATAAATATCCACTCCCAACTACAATCAGTCTAATATGGACTATCTGATCATCTCCAACAGGATAGGAAAATATTCCCTAGCTCTTGTTTCAGGCAGCTTGGTGGTGGGTTTATTTTCAAAGGCCTCTGGAGGCAAATACTGGCTGTTCATCAGGAGGAAAGTTTGGAGTGCATCAGATTGCTCAGCAGAATCAGTGAACATGAGAGGAGGTTATTACATTAAGCCTGATCAACACCAGAGCAGGTATTAGCACATTTCATGGATTTCAGTTCAAATAAATCAGCCTTTCATGCACATGGGGAGCAAAGAGCAAAATGAAGAATGCTTAAATGAGCCACCAGAGCCCCCTAGAACTCAGTCATGCATCCTCACTTGGGCCTAATGCTTCAAATCTATATTGCTTTCCCTGGTTCACATCCATCCAGAGAAGGGCAAGGGATCTGGGGAAGGGTCTGGAGAGTCAATAATGTGGAGCAGCTGAGCCCCTGGAGAAGAGGAGGCTCAGGGTGAACCTTCTCACTCTCTACAACTCCCTGCCACGAGGTGCAGCCTCTGGGATAAGGCTCTGCTCCCAGGGAACAAGGGACAGGACAAGAGGAAAAGGCCTCAAGCTGTGCCAGGGGACGTTCAGGTAGGACATCAGAGAGAATTTCTCCATGGAAAGGGCTGTCAGGCACTGGAAGGAGCTGCCCAGGGAGGTGGTGGAGTCACCATCCCTGAAAGTGTACAAGGAATGACTGGACACAGCACTCGGTGCTCTGGTCTAGTTGACAAGGTGGAGATCAGTCACAGGTTGGACTCAATGGTCTTGAAGGTCTCTTCCAACCTTAATTCTGTAAAATCAAAGCTGAAAAACCTTTCCAGCTCTCAGTGAAAACTTCTCACCAGGACCTGAGCCCACTCCTGCCCCAGTTCGGTGGGTACAGCGCACAGGGAATCGTGCAGCACCTTGTTTTGCACGTAGGAAGATTCTCAGTGCAGGCAGAGAGAGAAATCTGGCCCTTTACAACTGGGATAGTTTTTCAACCAACTCTACTCAAAAGCACTTCACATGAAGTACAGATTGGGAAGGTAAGGTGCCCAGATCAGTTGCTGTTCTCCCCTCCAAAACAAGTTTGATCCTTCTGACTACACATCCAACGTTGTCTCCCGCTCAGGAAAATCTGTTTCTTGAACCATATGTTGCTGTTGAGCAGTTCAAGAGAAGTTTCTCTATCAGATAAAGACCAGGAAGACTGGGCACACCTATTCCAGAGCCTGATCCCCACACAAGAAAGGCTCAGGACTGGGAAGCCAATTCCATTGGGTTTCTGCTATTTCACTGCCCAGAAACAGGCAAAAAAAAATGGACTAAAAATTTCATTTTAAGCTTTAGATTTCTGTTTTTTAAGAATGCCAGAAAAGCTTAGCAGGGACACTCAGTTTGCACTTGATCTTCCAGCCTGTCATCCCAACAAGAATCTCCTCACTTCTCCTGTCAACCAAAACTCCCTGCCAAGACCACTCAGGGAAGAGCAGCTGACGCACCAATGCTTAAGTCCAAAATGCAAGAGGTTGAGAAAAATATTTGGCTGAATGGGTTCAGTTCTTGGCCCTTGCCCAAAAATAAGTGGAGAAAGGATCATTTTGTTGGCTACAAAGCTTCTGTAGGCACAGGAACAAAAACAAAAACATTTTTATGGAGGTTCTAGAGGATTATTTTTATCCATTAATAGCTAAATTTAGGTATCTAGTAGCACCTAGAGTAGGTTTTTGCAAGTTCTTCTGGATGCAACTTGCTTATGTCTCTAAATCATAGTCTCACAGAATGGTTTGGGTTGCTTATGTCTTTAAATCATAGACTCACAGAATGGTTTGGGTTGGAAGAGACCTTAAAGAGGATCTAGTTCCAACCCCCTGCCATGGGCAGTGAACCTTCCACTAGATGGAAGGTGTAAATGCCAACACAGCTCCCCCACAGCCCAGTAAAATCCACAAATTCCACTTTGCAAAACACTCAGTGTTGTCTACATTGTACTAACACTCTAAATTAAATCATAGACTCACAGAATGGTTTGGGTTGGAAGAGACCTTAAAGAGGATCTAGTTCCAACCCCCTGCCATGGGCAGTGAACCTTCCACTAGATGGAAGGTGTAAATGCCAACACAGCTCCCCCACAGCCCAGTAAAATCCACAAATTCCACTTTGCAAAACACTCAGTGTTGTCTACATTGTACTAACACTCTAAAAAAATATCCCCACCTGAAGGAACCTTCTGTTGAAACAGTCAAAAACAAATGATGTGGGGAAGGAATTACCCACCACCTGTGACATACAGGAATAGAATTTACCAAACCATGAAACTTGCCAAAGCTTTGCCTGGCACCTGCACAACCACCAGGAAATTATCTCAGGTATGTGCCTGAGGAACAGCCACATACCTGCATCAAGGACCAAAACATCTCTCTCCATCCCCAGGCAGTGGCATTAATTAATTACAGAACTGCAGAACATCCTTTCTTTAGGGTATACATGAACACTTTCACTCCACAGGGCAAGATTTTATGTCCTTTCATTCAATGGCAGAAGAAACTACTCTGATATTACAAAACGTGAGTGACAGCATAGCCCAAACATGCAAAACCCTTAAGCTGTAAAAATATAAAGGAAGGCAACTCCTGTAGTTGCTATATCAGGGACCAAAAATATTATCCACATACTGTGCATATTCATTAGTCAAATGAGTCTCAAACTGCTTCACTGCTCAGGTACACATCCCATTTTGACACCTTGCCCAGGACTGATGCTAACAGTAATGGACTGCACATGGCCAGATTGCCACAGGGCTGGTTTGTCACCCAGCAGTAATTCCAACTGCAATTACTGGATGGCCATGCCCAGATATTATCTCTTCCAGCATTAGCAATCCCACAGTTCAGTGATCAATGTGTTATTGTTTCACAAGTGCCCAGGAGTTTGCTCTGCAGCCTGACACTCTGAGGAGTCACCTGAGCCAAACAACTGCCCCACGGTGTGTCCTCCTGGCTGTGGCTCTGCACTCAAAGTAATAAATTGGAAAATAAGGAGTGTTCAGCATTCCAGAACATGTGCCAAAATGTCCTTTCATTAGCAGCAGAATGAATACACTGACACCATCTTTCAGGGGAACAGCATGTCTTCAGCCTGAAGCCTTGGAGCAAAGTGAAGGAAAAGCAAAGAAAGGGATTCAGCCAAGGACAGCAGCAGGAAGGAGATCTGCTTCCAACAAGAACACAGCCTCTTGCTACAGAAACATGTGGATTTGTGGCATTTGCCATCTAGACATGAAGTACTCAGACTGTTTTCTTCTCATTTAGAGATTTTTAGTGGGCTTTATGTCAAAAGTGCTCAAGGGATGGTGAGCTCCTTCCCATGGCAGCAGCCTACAGATCCTCTTAGCACTAATCTCCTTGTACAGCCAGCTGAAATTCCCTTTTAGCTAAAATGCTGGGAGGTGTATACCCAAAGAACAGGAGGTTCTGAGGTCCTGTGCCTTCTCACAAGCAGAACCTGCCTAGCCATAGATAAGTGTTGTAGCTGCTCTCATAGGCAGGGACAGTCCAACCACTGAACAAGCTCATCTTGGTTC